TGTATATACACACACACACACAGAGGGTGCCTCAAAAATGTATACACATTTTAAGAAAGGAAAAAACTGTATTAAAATTATACTGATGGTAACCGCTTTGAGCACCTCTTGTAATTGCAGAAGTCAAACGTGACTTGTATTGGTCTTTTGTTATTGGTATATATTGAGTATTATAATTTTAATAGTTTTCCTTTCTTAAAATGGTGTATACATTTTTTTTGGAACCCTCTATATGTGTATGTATGTATGTGTGTATTTTAATGAAGATTGGATGTTGTTGGCTTAATTTCTGGAGTACTGATATGGATTACTGTCATACTGCTGAAAATTATCTTCTCAGTCTTTGTTTTCCTTTGCAAAGTAGAATCAAATTTTAGACTTAGAGGGGATCTAAGAATTATTTAACTTCCTCTTCATTGAACAGGCATGTTTGCCCAGTTAGGAACAGAGTGGGAATAAGGTCCAGTTTCATACTCTGCATGTGACTGTCCCGTTTTCCCAACACCATTTATTGAAGAGACCATCCTTTCCATACTGTTTATTCTTGCCTCCTTTGATTTAAATTAATTGACCATATATGTGTGAGTTTATTTCTGGGCTCTCTATTCTGTCTCATTGATCTGTGTCTGTTTTTATGCAAGTGCCATACTGTTTTGATTACTATAGTTTTGTAATATAGTTTGAAATCAGAAAGTGTGATGCCTCTAGCTTTGTTCTTTCTGAAGATTGCTTTGGCTATTCAGGGTCTTTTGTGGTTCTATAAAAATTTTAGCATTGTTCTATTTCTGTGAAAATTGCCATTGGAATTTTTATAGGGATTGCACTGAATCTGTAAATTGCTTTGGGTAATGTGAACATTTTAACAGTATTAATTCTCCAATTCATGAACATGAGATACCTTTTCATACATTTGTGTCTTTAATTGCTTTGATCAGTATACTTTTTTTCCCCTAAAAGTGCACTTTGGTGTTGTAGTTCCCTTGTCTTGTATATATGTATATGTGTATATATATTGAGTATTAACAATTTTAATTCAGTTTTCCTTTCCTAAAATGTGTGTGTGTGTGTATATAAAGCCCTTCGACCTTGCAGGTCACGTGGCAGCCTCCAGCCCTCTCCCCAGCCCAGGTTTTTCTTTGGAATAAACGTTGCACATTTATGGCGATTCTGAGTGTGAGGCCAGACTTCTGCCAGGCTCAGCACAGCATTTTTGCTAACAAGTGAGCTTGGGGGTTCTATGTGCCATAATTAACATTACCTTGAAGACTCTGCACACTGAGACTGGCCTCAGAAATAGTTGGCTTTTTTTTTTTTATTTTTTATTGCAAGCATATTTCTTTTCATGACTCCAGTAAAATTAAGCATCAAGTAAATAAAAGTGGAAAGTGACCAACACTTTTGTTTCACTAGTGCCTAAATGTAGTAAAGGCTGCTTAGTTTTGTATGTAGTTGGATTTTTTTGGAGTCTGAAGGTATCCATCTGCAGACATTGAGGCTCAAGTTTAATTTGGATTCAAATGGATTCAAATACTTCTGCTAATCTTGAAGAGAAAAGCTTCTTAAAGAATATAAACAAGTCGAATAGAGAAAACACTGATTGACAATAGGCATTTTAATGGTCTTTTTAATGTTTTCTGCTGTGAAACATTTCTAAATTTATTTAAAAAAATTTTTTTTCCATCACTTTCACACACACACACTCACACTTTTTATTTGCCATAATGAACCGTCCAGCCCCTGTGGAGACCTCCTATGAGAACATGGGATTTCTGGTAATTCACAACCCTACCAATGCTACCCTCAACAAGTTCACAGAGAAACTTAAGAAGTATGGAGTGACAACTTTGGTTCGAGTTTGTGATGCTACACATAATAAAGCTCCAGTTGAAAAAGAAGGAATCTACGTTCTAGATTGGCCATTTGATGATGGAGCGCCACCTCCTAATCAGATAGTGGATGATTGATTAAACCTATTAAAAGCCAAATTTCGTAAAGAGCCAGGTTGCTGTGTTGCAGTGCATTGGTTGCAAGATTGGGAAGGGTACCTGTGCTGGTTGCACTTGTTTTAATTGAATGTGGAATGAAGTACGAAGATGCAGTTCAGTTTATAAGACAAAAGGGAAGGGGAGCATTCAATTCCAAACAGCTGCTTTACCTGGAGAAGTACCGACCTAAGATGCGATTACGCTTCAGAGATACCAATGGGCATTGCTGTGTTCAGTAGGAAGAAACATAAGCAAAGGCTGATTTGATTGTGGCACTTAGAGGGAACTCTTGGTACCTGGAAATGTGAATCTGGAATCTTGACTCTATCATCAAAGTAGTGATGGATTTAGTACTCCTCAACCACTCTCTTAATGATTGGGAAAAAAACAAACAAAAAAGAAACCCCTCTATAACATGAATAAAATGTTTTAAAATAGAAAAATAAAATATAAAATAAAATGTATATATACTTTTTTGGCACCCTCTGTATATCTTCATAGTTTAGTTCAGAGGTTTTAATGAAGATGATTGGATGTTGTTGGCTTAATTTCTGGAGTAATGATATGGATTACTGTCATATTGCTGAAAATTATCTTCTCAGTCTTTGTTTTCCTTTGCAAAGTAGAATCAAATTTTAGAGTTAGAAAGGATCTAAGAATTATTTAAGTTCCTCTTGATTGAACAGGCATGTTTGCTCAGTTAGGAACAGAGTGGGAATAAGAAACAAGAGTTTTATGTTTCATGGCTTGGCACTTTTTAAAGCTGCTTTAAAATTTTGCCCCAATTTTGAAAGTTCCTATTTCAGATGAGTCAAGAGTTGTTTTCATTTCAGTGTTCATATAGTCATTGATTGTTAAAAGAAAAAAAAAAGCAAATTTGATTTGAGAGCTCAAAATACTCTGATATATGTGAATAGGTACCGTATTTTGCTGTGTATAATGCGCACCTTTTTGCCCAAATTTGTGAGGAAAAAATAAGGATGTGTGTTATACATGGATAGTGTTGCCGTATTTCCCCATGTATAAGACTCACCTTTTTTTAAAAAAATTGGGGTCTAAAAACTGGGTGCGTCTTATACAGTAGTTGTATGAGCGCAAAAAAACAAGTGCGAAAACGGGAAATGCAAGTAAAAAAAATCTACAACCACTTAGGTACTTGTACAAGTACCTAAATGTAAACAAATAAATTTAATTCAAATAAAAATTTGAATTAAAAAATTAAAATGAAGGCTTTTTTTCCCTGACAGTTTGGGCCCAAAATATAGGTGTGCATTATACACGGGAGCATATTATACATAGTAAAATACAGTATTTGCTGCTGTTCAACAATAACCCAAACCTATAAAGTTTAATATTCTAATGGAAGGATTTACCTGAGGGTGAGGTAGCTTAAATATGTGAAATTTGTGGGGGAAAAATCTTCCATATACCCATCATCCAGCATCAGTCATATTAACTTGTGACTATTGAGTTACACTTTTAATCTTGGCAATAATTTTTAGTCTTTGTCTAACTGCAAAATAAGTCTAGGCATATTATAAACCACTTACTGGAAGCACTCTTGTTTTTCTACAGTGTTTCCTGAGGTTATAGGCGGGTGTTTGAAGAGTACATGCGGGTTATTAGCCAGCGGTACCCAGACATCCGCATTGAAGGAGAGAATTACCTCCCTCAGCCGATATATAGGTGAGTACATTTCAGTAACTTAAAAGGGAAATAATTTGACCTCATAAACATTTGTGAATTGGTCAATTAACTTTCCTTGGTTATTATAACTTCTTAGCTAATTGTAATAATATACAGAGTATACTTTCATAAAAGTAAATACAGAATTTTTCTGTAAGAAGGTAAAGAGGAGGATCATTTTCTAGATGACAACCCTTCTAAAAATGTGGTTTTTTATGTAATTTTTATTGTAGAAATAGACCATGAACTCCCAAATTTTTATAGTCAGTCAGTGATATAAAATTTTGTACTGTTAAAGTAATATATTAGGCCAGTGCTATATGATCTTATCAGTTAATTTTTGATTGATTTAAAATATATAAAACATTTTTGTTTTAAAACTGCAATAAACTAGTTACTATCTTTTTCACTAATTATAATTAATAACTTTTAGATTTGATGTCTGGAAAATGTCTATACACATACATGAGTTATGAAATTTTGAAATAATTGAGAAATTGTGGCTTCTGATGAATTTGTTTCTTTTTCTTTTTGATAGACACATAGCATCTTTCCTGTCCGTCTTCAAACTAGTATTAATAGGCTTAATAATTGTTGGCAAGGATCCTTTTGCTTTCTTTGGCATGCAAGCTCCTAGCATCTGGCAGTGGGGTCAAGAAAATAAGGTATGTAATTTAATAGCTTTGGTAGCTGTAAGTTTTTAGGTTGCAGTGAATATATTTTAATGAATTTTTTCTTTTTAAGTACTTGTTGCTCATTCACCTGTTTACATGTATTTTTTCAACTTAAACCACCATTTATCTCTGGGCAAAGAACTTAACCTCCCTTGGCCTTAGTTTCCATAATCATGTAAGAATGATTCGATCTTACCTTTTTATTATTTGAAGGATAGGGAGGTGTTACTTTAGTAGATCCTGGGCACAAAATATTTTAATACCTGATTTTGATTATGTAGACCTAAACATACCCAGCAAAATATGATATAACATAATGTGGGCCTTTGTTTTATACCAACAGATATAGGAATTAATGGGTTTATTCACATTAAAAACAGGATTTTTACTGAATTGTTATTTTCTCTCTCTGATTCCCCCCCTCCCCGTCTCTGTCTCTCTCTGTCTCTCTGTTTTTATTATTTGTCCCTTGACTCTTATGTTCATGGGGAATCTGTTTAGCAAATTACCTAAAACAATCAGTATAAATGTAAGAATCTTGTGCTATTTTTTTTATCCTTTGTAGGTTCCTGCTGCAGCATACATTTTTCCTAGATGTTTTCTTCATCTCTTTTACTTAAAGTCATCTTTTCCAGAGGGTCTACCTTTCTGCTGTGAGAAATGGGACTAATCTTTATTTCTGTCTTGGATGAGATTGCCTAAGTTGCCTTCCAAGAAGCTTCTTTTTTGGAGTCCTCAGTCTGGCCTTGTCCTTTACTTCCAGGCTGACACTACCTTTGGCAGGCTCCCACAGAGCTGTACTTCCTTTTCTTAGGGCATCACGTCTGTCCAATAATAGGCCAGGCTTCTTCACATAAACCTCCTCAGGTGCTACCTCTAATTGAAGTGTGTCTACTCTGTTATTAACGAAACGTTAATTTGCATAGGATTAAGAATTGGAAGTTAAGTACTTATTGATAATGTTTTGCTATTTTTATTCTATTGATTTCAAAATGTCTTTAGTGCATTTTACTTCTGTAGACATATGAATGGTTGATCTGCTGTAGAAGAGGAGTGTGAGAACTGTAGCTTATATGACACTTCTTTGTGTGGTGTTCCCATGTCAGTACACTTTATGCTAGGGTAACCTCTATGAAATCAGTGCCCACTTAGCTCAAGGTGGAGGTGGGCAGGGAAAGCTCTTCCTCATTTGCTGTGGGCATTTTGATTTATTTTTCTTAAACAGTTTGCTGTGAATTGACATCCTTACTACGTCCTACTTTTAGTCAGGTAATTTTAAATTAAAATCTTTCTGTTCATCAAGGAGATTCCAGTCTCTTTGGGAGGGTCTAGATTTGCATTCAGAGGTGAATTAATGTAATTTAATATTGCCAGTGCTTTCTAACCTACTTTTTTCCTTGTCTTCTGGGTTCCTGGACCCAGTTTAAACCTGTGTGGGGGTGGAAGAGGGCCCTCACCACCCCAACAAAGAATTATTAGACATCAGCAGAGTGTCTCAGTTCTGCTGCCTGTCTCCCCAGAGACAGCATCAGATTCCAGAGACTAAGGGTTCAGTCCCACAAGACTCCCTCCTCCCCAGTCAGGTCCCAGTTGCAAGTCCATGTTGTTGTTGTGCTTCTGACCAACTAGCTCCAGATTGGAGGTTCTCACAACCTCTTCAATGAGCAGGTTTGTTTAATTTGTCAGAGCAGCTCACAGAACTCAGAGAAACATTTTAATGTACACCAAATTTCCAGTTTATTGTAAAAGGGTATAACTCAGAAACAACACGATGGAAGAGATTTGTAGGGCGAGGTATGTGGAAAGGGACTCAGAGCTTCCATGCCCTCTCCAGGCACACACTTCTCCTCTCATCTTTACATGTTCATCAACCAGGAAGCTCTCCAATCCCAGTCCTTTTCGATTTTTAGGGAGACTTCATTACATAGGCTTGGTTGATTAAATCTTTGGCTATTGGCAATTAATTCAACTTTCCTTTCCTGAAACTGAAAGTTTCCTCTAATCACATAATGGGTTTTCCATGGCAACCAGCCTCCCATTCTTAGGTGCGATTCAAAAGTCACATCATCTTTAAGAATGGGGTAGAGGCTTGATCACTGCACTGTACACCTGAAGCTGATGTTATATAATATTTTATGTCAACTATAATTAAATATAGTCACGGGATGTTGAGTACAGTGTGGGAGTGGAGTCAAGGGAATTTTAATAGATATGTATGATATTGGGGGGGGCGGTGGATTGGGGGAGGGGGATTGTCACTTTGAGGGGTAAAAAGTATAACTAGTGCACTGTGTTGTACACCTGAAACTAATTTTAAAAAGTCACATCATTAACATAACACAAGACACCTTTTAGACTCCCATCACTCAGGAAATTCCAAGGGTTTTAGGTGCTCTGTGCCAGAAACTGGGACGAAGAATAGATACGTATTTTTTACTTCGAATGACTTGTTTGGAACCTGGACAGGTTGTATTGAATACATGGAGTTGCTGATTGTTGCATCAGTAGCCTCTTGTGACTTCATAAATTATATTATAAAAATGGCAAGATGAACCCTTCTTATGCTGGTACGCTTTTGTTTCACGTAGGCTATTAAGAGATCTCTAGAAATTCCATCTCTACATTATGAATAGCATATGTAAGTTCTTCACCACGTATAGAGCTGTGAATTAATGTTGCACTTTTCTTTTTCTGTGTACATTAATCTGAACATAGGGAATAGCAGTAATCGTTTGTATAGAACCTGCTAAAGTAGATTTTTAAAAGAGCAGTTACCAAGTAAAGACGAGACTACTTAAAGGTTACTGTCTGAAGTTGTCATGTTTTGATTTCAAAATGACGTTGCCTGTTGTACTTAACTATATTTTCTTTTAGGTTTATGCATGTATGATGGTTTTCTTCCTGAGCAACATGATTGAGAACCAGTGTATGTCGACAGGTGCATTTGAGATAACTTTGAATGGTAGGTTCTGAATAGTTTGCATTCTGTGATAAATTTTAAGTGATTTTTAATGAGCTTTAGGCTTTTCTATTTCATAGTATGCTAAATGATCTCTTAATATGGTCTTCATCTACTCTCATGGCTTTAAAATAATGTCTTGATGATGACCCCTGAATGTATAGCTCCCGAGAGCTCTAGACCCCTCTTCTATGTGCTTAAACTCCTCCTCCCAAACTGTTGATCACCTCTGCTTCCTGCAATTCTTGTATACTTCAATTTGCTCCTTCCCTGGCATTTCTCATTTATTTAATGGCACCGTTATCATTCTACTAGGTCACCCATGTCAGAAACCTAGGGTAACACCACTTTCTCCATTACTCTCCTAATGGATTACCAAGTCTTCTCAGGTCCCCCTTTTACATTTCTCAAAAATCTGTTTCTCTTTCTCTTCATCGGCGCTACCCGAGTCCAAGCCACAATTATCTTCTTACCCTCTATTACATTCTCTAAACCAGAGGTTGGCAAACAGCGAGCTAACAATGGTTTTTACATTTTTTATGGTTAAAAAAATATCAAAAGAATATATTGTGACACATGGAAGTTATATGAAATTCAAATTTCAGTATCTATACCTTAAGTTTTGAGTTTCATCACTGAAGAAAATTTGGAAATTTATCTCTAGTTATATAAGTACCTATATAATATCCTTGATTTTGCCTCTTGGTTCATAAAGCCTGAAATATTTACTGTCTGGCTTCTTACAGAAAAAATTTGCTGACATCTGCTCTAAACTGATTTTTTTTTAATGACATTTCATCTTGTGGCTTCACTGCCTCACAGTCATTAAATGTCTTTACTTTGTTCTTCAGATAAAGACCAGAACATTTAGCATGGCCCAAGGCCCAGTGTGATGTAGCCCGGGGATCGGCACACAGGGCCTTGTGGACCATATGCCCTACTGCCTGTTCTGTATATAAAGTTTTATTGGAACGCAGCCATTCTTGTGTATGTTGCCCATTCTGCTTTCACGCTACCTTGACAGTTGAGTAGCGGTGACAGATTATATGTATTTTGAGCTGCAGGTGCTTACTGTCTGGCCCTTTACAATATGGTGACCCCTGATCTAGTCCCTGCCCACGTCTTCAGCCTCCCTTGTGCCACTCTTCTATATTTCAGCTCTCTGTCACTTTTAATAATAGTAAGTTTATAGGTTTCTTTCCAGCCTCTCATATGTCCCTCTCATAGCATCTTCTAGTTTTAATTCTTGGTGCACAATTGTGATTTTGTAGCTATTTGTACTGTTCTTTTTGTAGTCCCCCTACTAGAATGTAAACTCCATCATAAGAGCAAGAAGGTTAATTCTTTTGCTCACTTTTGTATCCCCAGCTATGTACAGACAATAAATATTTGTGGAATGAATGTTTATTACAGAATCATATTTAATTTGGGGGCTGGTACCATTTATTTTTATAGATGTACCTGTGTGGTCTAAGCTGGAATCTGGTCACCTTCCATCCATGCAACAGCTTGTTCAAATTCTTGACAATGAAATGAAACTCAATGTGCACATGGATTCAATCCCACATCATCGATCATAGCCCCACCTATCGGCACTGAAAACTCTTTTGTAAGTAGTTTAAAAATATAAGAACTGCGTGTTGGTATCAGTTAATTCTCATCATAAATCAGCAAGATACTAGATGCTACATATATTATCACTTGAGTTTCCAACTTAGGATTTAACAAATGGATGTTTTCTTCGTTAAAATTTATAAGAGATAAGAGAGTGTGGGCCTGCCAAAATAAAGTAAGGTTACACTAATAAATTTATCTTTAAGGCTTATAATTGGGTTTGTTACATCATTTTTTTGACTGGGAACTAATGGCCAATGTTGATGTACTAGGATGTTTATATACGTATTCTCTTCTGAACCTTCAAATAACTAGTTCTTAAGAGCATGCAAGAGTATGCTCTTAACATGCCCGAGATAGAGAATTAATAAGCGAATGTGTTTGGACATGGAGAAGTGAGTGTTAGTTAGTTTCTGCTTAGCAGAGATGTTCTCCATTCTTTTTGAACGAGGAGTTGATTTTACAAGGGTGAAGTTTGAAATAAAATATTCTTTTGTTGTGTGTGTCTTTCAGACATTAAGGGATTTTTGCAAGAGCAGCGTGGCTGACATCATGAAGGCCTGTACTGAAGACAGCAAGCTGTTAGTACAGACCAGATGCTTTCCTGGCAGGCGCGTTGGACCTCTTGGAAAACCTCAATGCAAGATAGTTTTTCAGTGCTGGCACATTTTGGAATTCTGCACATTCGTGGAGTGCAATAATACTGTATAGTTTTTTTTTTCTTTCCCAAATCCACTGAGTTAATAGTTTTTTTAAAATGTGGACATTACTACTTGTACCTTTTTTTTCATTAGTCACATTTGAAAAACGTAGAAAAATGAGTTACAATTTGATTTTCTCAAAGATGTCTGTTAAATCTGTTGTGATTTTATATGAATTTTCTTTTTTTGTAGTTTAAAATTGATCTTTTTGCGAATACAGCTGAAGTTCTCAAATACTTTATAAGAGTTTTTCAGACATCTCTAATTTGGTCATGTTCAATTTGTATAGTTTTCAGAATACTGTAGCTTGTGACAATTTTGTCAGTGCATTATACAAGATTATGAGGGGAAATCCTATATGCAGAGTACTCTTACCGATTTGTGTGTATGTGCGTGTGTGTGCGTGTGTGATTACCAGAGAACTAAAAGACCAACTGCTTTTTAAATCCTGTTATAGTTCGCATCTTGTCTTGACCAATCTCATGAGTTGATTAACTGGGCCTTTATACTTAACTCAATAAAAAACTAAGCAGATATAAGTTAAATAAAAACTCTGAATTTATTGCCCAGCGTACCTGTTAATGTTATATCTAATAGTTGTCTGCTTAAATTTTTGTTTTTGACTTACAGATAATTTCATAAGGGACATACTTTAGATTCACGTACAAATAATCATTTACCATTTATAGGATAATTGAAACTCCTCACAAAAACTGAGTTTAACCTCTCTACAACATTAATATTAGATGAATGGAGATCACTTGTCTAATAATTTAACTTGCCTAACATCATATATCAGAATTTATTATATTTGAGGAACAAAATTGAAAAATTTTTTATTCAGTGAATTTAATATCTTTCCAGAGTTCTAAAAAGACTATAAGAGTAATTTAGCAGAAATAGGACCATCAAGTGGAAAAATAGGACCATTAATCTAGACCTACCACTTCTATTCCTACGTGGAAGCTGAAGCATGTTACGATCATATAGCAACATCGTAACATGCTTCAGCTTCCACGTAGGAATAGAAGTGGTAGGTCTAGATTTGTTAGTAAAGAGACTTAGGGAAACGTTATGAGATAATTCAACATTGGGTCCACCAAACACTTAATGCAACTATATACTTTGTCTCTGAATATTTGTTGAATTCATGTCTCGTAAGCATAATGATTGTGATAGCCTTGGGTGGAACAGACTGTAATCTTTAGCTGACAAGAAGTTGGTCTGTGGAAAATTGATTAAGTGGCTTATCCTTTTAATTAAGACTGCAGAACTGTTAACCCAGGTTCATATAGTGGCAAGAGTCCATACAATTTAAACTGGGAAGTTACAGGTATAAGAAAATTGTTATCTTTGACTAGGGCTTAAAACCTTGTTGACTTGATTTATACCAGCTCAGACTTCCTATCTTCTGCAAGTTGAACACACTGCTGAGTGTGACTAGGGTTTTCCTTTAGCTGATAGACATTCCACTGATGACACAGTTAACTTTTTGGCATTTAGACCTTTCCAACTGGAGCCTGGGATGTTCCCATGGATCTGACAGGTCAGCCATGAAGAACCTAAGATTCGATTCTAACTTTTTCCAAGTTTGCCTTGGGTGAATAAATTGTCTTTTTGGAAATGGCTTTAGGTAGCTTAGACAATGATAAAACTCAGCTATTTTGTTGACACCCATCTTAATATTGTTTTTTTATCTTTGGCCATATTTAAATCTAGGATTTAATGAAAATGTAGTGAAAAATTAATGGGAAGTATGAATATAAAAAAAATTTAAGGAAAAAGGAAAAGTTAAAATGAAACTATATAGAATGCAGTTTTATTATATTCCTAACATTTCAGAATTTATCAGTTGCTTACAATTTGTGTGGCTGTATAGTTTATGTACTATATTAATTAGAAGGCCATAGAAAATAACAGCAGGTTGGCTAATGTTATTGGGGTTTTTACCACAGTTGCTATTGTGGAAGAAATGATTTGTTAGATTAATAAAAAGATGTTGGCAAACGTGGCTTTATACCTCAGTATCAAGATATGCAAGACAAATATGCTTCAGAATATAAATGCATTAATTACTTGCAGCATTAACATTAATGACAGCAGTTGATCAGCCTTTACTACTATCAAAATATAACAATCCCAATGATTCTTATTTTGAATGTTTTTAGTTAGGGACTTGGATAGTTGGCATTTTATCATTTTCATAATTTTAAATCAGATTTTTAAAAAAGCCTACAGAATTTTTAATCATGATTTGATATTTAATATTAAAGCTTTTTTTTTTTAATCTTTTGAATGAAATCAGGGATTATAAAGTTTGGGGGCTTACCTCTCTAGCATTGTGAAAATAAACTTTTATTAAGCTGATGTGAAAGGAACCCCTCCTTTGTGGAATTAAATTGGTGCTAGAGCACTTTATATGATAACTGTGTTTGGAAAATTTTACACTGTAAGATTTTGTGTCGTCAAATAATGTGTACTTTCTAATGGCGTCCTAAACCCCACCCAGTGCTAACCGAAAGTCTGGCACTCAAGTTACCACTCTTGGACCCTAAACTGAAGTATCAATAGCTCTGTGATGATTCTGTGCTGGTGGGAACAAGAAAGGAGCAGTTTACATCACTGTCTGCCTTTACCCCCAACCTCCACAGTTCCTGAGAAGGTCATATTAACATCTCCACACCTGGAGAGAAATAAAATGAGGGCATTCCCTCTTGACTGGTATAGACAATTTAACAGTCTCTAAAGAGAGAAGAGAGTTCAGATGTCTTTTAAAAATCCGGCCGAGCCTTTTCCTTCACAGTCCCTGGCTCCTTTTCCCTAGGCTATAAAACTAGCCCTGAACTGTACCCTGAAGAAAAATATAAACTGGCCTCAGCCACACTGGGCTGAATGGTAAGTCACCCACTCTTGATCAAGGCTTATAGGATGTCTTCTGGTGCCTAGGGTAAGCATGAGCAAAATAATAAGAAACAACATGGTAACTGTAACACAACAGCAGTGGTTTTAAAACTCAGAATCATTGGGACAAATCCCTGGAGCCCATCCTTAGAGATTCTGACTCATTTGGTCTGAGAAGGGGCCCACTAGGGGCATTTCAGCCAAGCCTCCAGATAATGCCGCCGCTGTCAGTCTGGTCCGTGCACAGGAGCACGGTACCCAGAGCAGAATGTAGGGCTCGGGACTCACCTAGGAAGAAAGTGTAGCTCCTGGAGCAGAAGAAGAGTTTGCACATGTGCTCCATGTTTATAGAATGACTTAACAACACGAATTGAGTAAGACAGGAACTCGAGAGAAACAATGAGATGAGAGGGAGATTATGTTTCTAAGGAACAAAATTGAAGACTTCATTGTCCCAATAAATCTAATAATGCAATGCATTTGTTATCCTTTCTTGGGTTAGTATTTTAAACTTTTTGGATGGATGCTTAAAGGGAAATGTTAAGTCTTTGAGTATAAAGTAACTGGTTTGAATTGCTCGATTTTCTCAGGGTAAAGCAGGCAGTATGCCTGCATTATGCTTATATTTTATAGTGACAACTGATCTTGATAGTCACACAAAACTATTTAATTTGTATAGTTCTTGTTAGAGAAAATGCTTTCTTGTAGTTTTATTGCAGTAATCATACTAGAACTTTAAATTACTAGGGAAACCCTGTCTGAACCTAATTAGGCATTCCCCCCCCCCAAAGTAAAAGATTTATTGGTTGATGTAACTGAAAAATCCAATGTAGAGTTAGTTGGCCTCAGGGATTCAGATATGATTTTCAGAACTCTTCATCTAAGTTGGCCTCCTTTCTCCATGAGCCTCCACCATAATTGGAGAGAAAGATTGGGGGGTGGGGGTAGGGAGAATGAGGGAGGAAGGAGCATGAAGTCCCAGAAATGTACTCGGGTACAACTTGGGTCACATTCCTATTTTTGGATTCTATTTCTCACTTGATATCCACCCTAATTTGTCATTTGTTAACTCTTCCTTTCCTCTATTTACTCCCTTCACCCAACCTCATTCCTATCCAGAATCATAATGGATTGAAGACAAGTGTATGGCTCTGGCTATAAGCTGCTCAGATCAAGTCCTTAACTCTTTGGGAATTACCTGGAATGGAGGGAGCTGGCATTGGGTTGTTTGGTTTGGTTAATAAAGAAAAGTGTTATATGAATCTGGCCAGCAGGGTGCTGCCACGCCCCCTTGGGCCACTGGCTGTACTCATTTAGTTTGTGTATTAGCAACTCTTAACTAGAGACAAAAACAATTACTGCTCTTTAGTTGATTGTTACTCTTAAGTTGCTAAGAGCAGAGAAATGTGCTGATGACATTTTCCCCTAAGCATTTTTAAAAATGTATTAGAAAATGCTGCTGGATTTCATCTTTTACTAGCCAATAGGATCTAGAGATGAGACACTATTTTTAAGGTATTAAAAGACAGATTATTTTGTGTGCCTGTCCACTGCTGGAGCATAGCCCATTTCTCCACCAGCAAGGGCGTTGGTGTTGAGAATATAACTGCCATGCCTTCTAGTGCTTTGACAAAGCCTCTGATGCATGGTGGCCTGTGGCCAAGCATCTGGTTCATAATTCCATGAAAGGTTTTGAGGAGATGAGGAAGGCTGGTATCTCTCAGAATGCAAAGTGATTTTGGAATGTAAAGAATTTCTTTGGGTTGAGTTTAATGGAAGTTTGTTACACACCTGTGTTCCTAAACTATGAAATATGAATATGAATAAATATGAATATTTGGGCTAAGGAATAGTTTCTCGATAAAAAATTAAGTACTGTGGACAGCAAATATACTGTATATGTATATTAAATGTAGTTAAACAGTAGGTTACTTCTAAATGTGATTCTGCCAGTAAAATTCTATAATAGACAGATACATGGTAGTTTGGTGTTGTGAAAGATTTTAATATCTACTTAAGCACTCTGAAGAGAAAGTCCGAGAGAGAGGTTAAGTGTCTTGCTCTGATTCTACAGCTTGCAGCAGTGCTAAAAAAAACAAAACAAAACACAAAGCCTACACCCTTGGTGGGGTCTGGAGAGGGGGTAAAACAAAGAGGGCTTTGTCAGAAGTTACTCCAGGGACGAAGAGAAGAGACAATAATAAAGCAAACAAAAATTGAATCTCAATTTCACGTCACAATGTGTTTTTTTTTTACTTTAGCAAAGATGGACTGGAATTTTTCAAAGCAACTAAATTAAAAAAAAAAGAAAAGATAAGAAAAAGGCTTGGGAGTACAGGAGACACTAGAAAGAGAGAAGGCAAGTTTACATGACAAATTCTTGTCCTAACATCTAAATTCAAGGTACAAATTGACTCAGCCCGTTTCCATTCCCCAAAGTGGATTTACACCTTGCAGTTTTCCTGACCACTTACCCTCACTGTTTCCATGATGAGAATTACAAAGCACATACAGAGATTACCAGTTACATGTCCTAAGCATCCTTAAAATGGCTTAAAAATACCACACGTGTCTTGAGCTGAAGTTTGGATTAGAGGGTCTCTGGAAGTTCCTGCAGTTTTAATGCTCTGTTCCACTAAACTAAGGCTCCTTGACATTTCTGCTGAAGCCCAGCTCCACCTGGGACTGTGACTTGATGTGACCCATGGCAAAACACAATTTTGTTGCTGTCTCAAAATTCATGCAAAAAATTCACTCCAAATTGTACATATTTAAACATAAAATTTTTGTTTTATTACTTCCTAAATCTTCAAGCAAAATTCATACTCCAGGAAGTTATGTTTCTTTTAAGGCTGTGTGTAACCCCTGCTCCATTGCGTCGTATTCCTCTTGGGGTATGTGTGTGTAGACACCATCTTAGGAAGAAAAGTAATCTATGTTATAGAGTTATTTTCTTTAAACTGTATAATATGCAGTAAAGCACAGTAACTAAAGAGGCTGTGTTCAGGAAATTTATATCTAGAAGATGCATGTGGAAAGATAATATGAGGCATAATTATAGTTTTAAAATGTGATATGAAAAACACTACTGTATAGAGGAAAATAATGACAAGCTTGCTGAAGACATGCTTGTAAGCCTCTGGAAGTTTTGAGGAAGGCTAAATGGTGGTCCTATAAATGTTGCTTATGAACGAATGGATGGATGGGTTTGGTTAAGGCAGTGGTTCTCAACTGGGGGTTTTACCGTCTAGGGCACACTGGTGATGAGACATTTTTTATTGCCATGACTGGGAGGGAGAGTTGCATTACTCCCAGCATCTAAGTGGGTAGAGCTAGAGATGCTGTGAAATACCCTACAATGTCCAAGACAACTTGCCACAATAAAGAGCAATCTGCTACAATATGTTGATAGGCCGCTGTTGAGAACCCCGTGTTAAGGGGAGGAAAGTTGGAGGAGGGTGCTGGGAAAGAAGAGAAAGATGGGAAGACAGAGACCAGTTAATAGACACATGCAGAGCAGCCTGTCGGGTCCCAGAATGGAGCCTTGGAATTAGAGCCTGTCACTCAGACCTGGGAGGGAAGAGCCTTAGCTTGATCAGCGCATTGTGTGGGAGAAGGCAGCTCTTCCAGCCACTTGTGAAATGGATTTACTCTAAGGATAACAGTGTGGCTTCAAAGGGTCTCCTTTACTTCCCTGGGTAGTTTTTCCATATTTATGTTGACAACAGAGGATGCCTTTCATCTTAATGAAATAAAAGACTAAATTGAAGGTGACATTTTCGTGGGGAAGATGTAATTGTTACTGTCAAATGTAACAATCCAACAAAGAGAAATGGCTCTGGTTAAGTCCTTTCTCTCTTTGATGAGGAAAAAAAGAACTTGGAGGGCTTGAAGTTGTAGAGGGTCACACCAGAGGACAGAAAGGACACCGAAGAGGCTTTCTTTATAGTGTTTTCTGGGGACGTGCCTGTTTCCTTGGAACTTGTGTGGGAAAGTGAAACTAATCAGCAGCAGCTTTGAAATACATAAATTAAAAAAAAATAAAGACTGGCTTTGGTGTAGCATTTTTATTCCTCCCTGAGGCATTTGTATTAATGTGTTAGATGATAAGAGTTGATTAACATTTGGGCCAGTAGAGTTCAGAAATGTCTTCCAACAATGTGTTTGAATCTCTGGGCTTCCACCTTTTCTTTGGTTGACTGGGGAGGGTGGGTGCTCTGAGGGGCAAGCAAATCCACAACCCGAAAGTCAAACCTACTCTTGGAATGTTACAAATTCAGAGTAATGTTTCCATTTAGCACCTTAAAAGCATTTTTTGAGGGGAGGATAGCATTGTGAAGATGGATAATGCAATTCCTGCATTCAAGGAGCTAATAGTATTGCAGAAGAGAGACCCACACACAAATGTTAAACACATCAAAACATGGTAAGTCCTAGTAAAAGACATCTAACATCAGGGATACAGG